AGTACGCCGCCGACCATCCTGCGATGTGAGTGCTCCATGCCGGAAATGCACTTCACACAGCGCTCGGTTCGCAAAGCACTCCTCTCCCTGAACATCCACAAGTCGAGTGGGCCTGACGGAATCCCCCCCAATTGTGCTGAGGACGTGTGCTTCAGTGTTGGCACCGGTTTTAACGCGTCTTTTCCGGTACTCCTACTCCCTAGGCGTAGTCCCAAAATCATGGAAGACGGCTTTTCGCCGTGGTCGGTCAGCTGGTGATCTTCTGGTCTACCTAACTCACAGATGGGCGGAGGCAGTAGAGTTCAAGGGGGAGGCATTGGCCGTTAGTTTGGACATTGCGAAGGCCTTCGATCGGGTTTGGCACAAAGCGCTTCTTTCGAAGCTCCCTTCCTATGGGCTTCCCGACAAATTGTGCGATTGGATCACCAGCTTTCTTGCAGATCGGAGCATCAAGGTCGTTGTAGACGGTGCAAGCTCCGATTGCAAGCCAATTAATGCTGATGTTCCACAGGGCTGCGTGCTATCGCTAACGCTGTTTCTTCTGCATATCAATGATATTTTGCATACCCGTAACATTCATTGCTATGCAGATGACAGCACTGGTGATGCTCTGTATACAGGCCGAGCCAATATTTCTCGGGAAAACGTCTCGAGTGCCGGAAAAAACTTGTGTCTGAAGTCGAGTCTTTGCTGAACAGAGTCTCGAATTGGGGACGACTAAATCTAGTCCAGTTTAACCCCCAGAAGACACAAGTTTGCGCGTTAACCGCTAAAAAGAACCCCTTTGTCGTATCCCCTCAATTTCAAGGCACTCCCCTTGTTGCCTCAGCCAGTATCGGAATCCTCGGCGTCGATATATCGAGTGACGTGCAGTTTCGTGGTCACTTGGAAGGGAAGGCCAAATTGGCCTCTAAAAAGCTTGGCGTGCTCAGCAAAGCGAGACAGTATTTCATGCCGGCACACCGCCTGCAACTTTACAAAGCGCAGGTTCGGCCGCACATGGAATACTGTTCCCATCTCTGGGCTGGGGCTCCCCAGTACAACCAGCTCCTTCCACTTGACCGCATCCAGCACAGAGCGGCTCGAATCGTCGACGACCGAGTGCTTTCCGATCGGCTCGATTCACTGGCGTTGCGAAGAGATGTTGCATCTCTTTGTGTATTTTATCGCATCTATCACGGGGGAGTGCTCTGAGGAATTGTTTGGATTAATCCCAGCCGCCAAATTTCGTGAACGCACTACACGGCAAATGTCCCGATACCATCCACACCATCTGGATGCTTGGCGGTCCACCACTGTACGTTTCACAAGGAGTTTTCTTCCCCGTACAACCCCTCTGTGGAATAGTTTACCACCGGCAATTTTTCCGGACCGATATGACCTGGGGACCTTCAAAAAAAGAGCTTACTCCTTTCTAAAGGGCCGGCAACGCACCCGCAATGCTCCTGGTGTTGCAGTAGATCATGGGTGGCGGTAGTCACTTAACATCAGGTGAGCCGCATGCTCGTTTGCCCCTTCTTCTACAAAAAAAAACCTTCAACACAACCTCTCTTGCACTGCTTCTAAATGGTTTCGCCATAATTAATTCGGAATATTTTAAATAATAACACAAAAACGAGCGTTATAATCACAAACTGACAACAGATTGACAAGCAATAGTGCCAACATCACAGCAGGGGACATCTTACGGTGAACGGGCTATAGTTGCCATAAACTTAAAACTGCCCCGGAAAGCCGATGTTTTGTATTTAGGGACGCAAAAAACTTTAGAGCATAGTCATATTTTATATAAATGTTGGTCATTTCTCCAGTTAAGTTTTTTGTATAAATATTCTGGGTTCTTTGTATTTATTACGTCGCATAGCAAAGAAGCATAAAAAAAGTTTGAGACGCCCCTGCATTTTTAACATATTCGAAGCATTAAGATATGACGTGACATGAGATCGTCTCGGTATGTAAAAACAATAGCGTGCACAAGCATTCTGTACCCTTTGGATTAATTTTTGAGATTTCTTAAGCAAACAAGTTCCGTAAACAGTTATACAATAATTTAATTTAGCTAAAACTAGAGTTTCACAAAGTTTTACACGTAAATTAACTGTAATGAATTGTCTAAATTTGTATAGAACTTTTAACCTGTAAAAGCAGTTTTGTACCAAATTGGTTACATGGTTTTCAAACCTCAAATTGCTGTCAAAAAGAATGCCTAAATTACGTGCTTCGTGAACTTGTGCAATTGTCTCTCCATTAACACGTATATCGGGTTTAGTTATAGCAATATCGTGTACCTGCTTTTTAGTGCCAATGATAAGGAATTTCGACTTTGAAGGATTAATTACCATAGAGTTATTTTGTGACCAATAAAAAAATGCGATTACCACTTGCTAAGAAAGGGTACTATTGCAAATATTCCCCCAACGTTCAGCATTGGACTTTTGATAGGCTGTATTTAATGAATGAATGATGAATAATATCTTGAGGAAGTAGACAGGATAACGGGTAATACGTTCCTAACTGATTTATTGGTACTTGTAATCTAGCGTCAAAAAAGAAGGCAGACCAACCAGTGCCCTCTGTGTACGTTCCGTGCCCAGTGTTCACATATCAAACATAGTTATTTTTCAATATGAAACCCATAATAAGTCTATGGATAATTTGACGGAAACATACCGGCTGATTTTAAGTAGATTTTATAGTGACTTTTTCACGATTTAATTCACAATTTTATATGCTAACCAACGATTTAATCCGAGTTCGCACGGCCGTTTTCTAGATCTTTTCAATAACGCCACTTACCGGATCGAATTTGAGAGTGTGAGTGTTTAGCCATTCTCAAGTGATTATCTTTCATACATGAGGCAAATAATTTTTACTTATATAGATTTACCACTTACTTAGCAGAAAATAACCATCGATTATATTCAACAGTTTTATCTGCGTGGATGAAAATAAAATTTTAAAATCATAAAAATTAAGACAGGATCTCGATAACGTGGCGACGTGCCGCTGGTATTGTACTGTCGTAGCAGCGCCCTCTGAGTACGCTCCGTGAAGCAAACGCAGTGTCGATTAAACAAACTCAGTTGTTATTTTACCTATGAAACCATAATAAGTCTAAAGATAATTTAGCGGAAATATCCAGCCGAATTTTTCACCATATATTTCGGATTGTCACGATATATTTTAAATTATACAACGGTAGTACGAAATTCCGCATGATTCGACTACGTTTTTTTGTAAGATGTCAGATGAAGCTTCCATTAACTTTCTTGGATATAAATAGGTATTACGAACCATAAAAATCCTTAATTTACTAAGTGAATTTATCTAGAACGTTTTTTGTTGATGTAGGTACCTAAAAACGCCAACAACCTTGTAAAAAAAGGGAATTTTATTTTGTATCATGTTAGACGTCGTAATATGTACAAGAAGTTGCACTATAAGAATATTGTTTTTACTTTATAATTATTTTAGAATTCTCTCTGTGCTTGTAATTAGTTTGAGAGTCAAGTATTAATCAGAAAGTACGTTTTACGTTTTGTCTGCATAAAGGCTGGGTTGGATTATTCAAAGAGTATGACAACTTTCTTATACAGGAAGGATTATCATTACCGTATTAAAAATAGTGCGTGAGATTTCTTCCATATTCGGTAAAATTTAAAAGTTTTGTTTAGGTGGCGTTTTGTTTATTTTTTGTTAAGGATGTGCTTGGTTATAATTTTTTTATTTTTTATATTTTTATTTATCATTTTTCATAATTTGTTGAAGGAAAAAAAAGATATATTATGGTATAGTTTTCAACCAACGTACAGTTGGGGGCGGTCTATAGTATCTCAAGAAGCGAATAAATTACTTGATATTTGTAATATTTTTATATAATCTTAATTGCGCTAGCACTTCTTATTATTGTATAATATTAATAAATACACATTATTATTATATCACCAAAGAAAAACTTATTACATCGTTTTCACAAATTATTCACATGCACAGATATTTAATACACAAAGTCGCAACACTTTACCCAATTGAAATCCACTACAAATGATTATTTAAAAAATAATATGAAAACAGCAATCCCAGAGGCGGGCATTTTCCGTCAACATACAAAACTATTCTCACACTCACTCTCACAAATGAAAGAAAAAAATGAGTGTGCTGCAAATTTAACCTCATCAAAGCTTCAAACGCTATGACATCAACGTTAACAAGTACAATCTAGAAGAAATTTTGATCCATAAAATTGGTGCAATTTAGTGTATTAAGTGACTGGGCATGGAAACCAGGAAACTAGTGAGCCGATATTAATATAAAACTCAAATTGTTTTGTACGCTTAGCGCCTTAAGCAACGAAGCATAGCCCAAGGGACTAGTAAGATGAAGTGGCAAATGGGCTGGCTATAAAGCTCAAAGAATAGATGAGGAAGAAAGGTACTAGAGTGGCAACCTCGTACCGATAAGCGGTGTGTAGGGCAGCCTCCCACTAGATGAAGTGACAACCTGGAAGGAAATGCAGGAAGTCGATAGATGCAGGTGACTCAAAACCGTGGTTTGTGGATATCCTTGGGGAGGCCTATGTTCAGCCGTGGACTTATGAATGTCTGTAATGACGATAATGAGGAGGCTTAAGAACTTAATATACTGTCATCATCAACGATGCGTTGACTTAAGCTGTCGTTACAAAATATTTTAAAGAATTATTTCTTATTACTTGATATGGGCAAAATTACAAGTGTACGAATCCATAACCACAGAAGAAAAAAATGTGCCACATTGTCAACGTCAACAACAACAATAAACGTCACATTTCTTGTCAAAAATAATTGAGTAAGCGTAACCAGCTGTTCTGATATTTAAATTTTTTTACAACCGCAAATTATTGTTATTTTATAAAGGAAAACTAAAAAAGAAAACAAATTTAACTTAAAATTTATAAGGTAGAAATACTTTTTATTTTAGGTCATGTTAGTTTTTATTAGCCCCTTTGTAGTTTTAAAAAAATGAAACAAAGGTAAGCTTATTTACAACGTAAAGGTGAAATTCTTTGACACATTATTTTTTATTTCTCTAAAATTGCAATTATTTTGGTTAAGGACACGCCAAATGCTTAACGGAGATGACTTGGTTGGTCATAACATCAATATGAATAGGTCAAACGATTCGATCAACAGTGAAATACAACTACACAGAATAAAACCACAGGACCACTTTATTGAAGCACAGATACAGGAAGGAGATACGTTACAAGCTATTGCTTTACGATTTCATTGTTCGGTAAGATCATTACATACTTTTAGTTAATGTCATAATATTCTTTATCTATTTAAATCATCGGTTTCCAAAACTACTTTTTTTCATGTTCAGGTTATAGGGTACAGAGAAGATTACTTTATCAATAACAATATTAACCTTTTGATAGAATTTATTTTTAAACTAAGATGTTATTATTTATTAGATTTCAGAATTAAAGAGAATGAACCATATACACAAGGATAATGAAATATTTGCAAGAAGGACGTTAAAAGTGCCTGTAACACCTTATTCAGTACTAACGGAACTTATACCTACTTCGCAAGAACCTCAGCCTGGACCATCAACATCAAACCAAGCACTGCCCCATATTAATATACATAATCTACTACACAATACTACTTCCAATGAATTAGCTAATGAGTCATTAAAAGATGGGAATAAAAATACAGATATTAAAGAAAATGAGTGTTCGATAGACTGTAATGCAGTTGTGCTAAATAGTACATTAGCTCCATCCGTGATTCCATATACAGATTCTGAACAAAATGAAGCAGTTTCGGAGGACACTCAGTTATTGCCAAATAAACCAAAGATATCTGTAGAGGCAGTTGTTGTCAAAGAGTTGACATCACATGGTGCTGATTTTGGATTAAAATGGTTTCATTTGGTATGCTGTATGCTTATCCTTGGTGTTGTGATACCTTTAGTGTATGTCATGTTTTATTTGGATAAACATGAACATTCTGATGTTCCACCTTTACATCCAACATGATAACTGTATCTGATCTTGACTTGATCTGATCAAAAGCTTTAAGTTGTTGATATATTTTTATAAAACATTTTTAACACTAATGTATAATATAATGTACATATAAGACAACAATGTGATGTTATAATTATACACCTATTTAAGATAAATTGGTTTTACTCATACTTTAAAAGCTGCATATGTTAAGATTTCCAGCAGTGGACTGCCACAGGTGGTGATGATGATGATGATACTTTAAAAGGAAAGTTTCACCTGTCCTCATTTGAGTTAGCATTTCTGTTGCAAAGAGTCACTGCCTTCTTTGGAATAGCTACTTTGCTCTGCACATGATTGGCTCACATCCTACTTGGGTGCTATGGACACTTGCTACAGCTCTGAGTACGTCGGCCAGAGCTGCTCCTTAGAAACTTTGGTAACATTAAAAAGTTGTCAGGTTAGGATGGCTTGAATTGCATACATCGGTAATGTAAAATGGGCCACATGAGCATTTACAGCACCTTGACAAAAGACAATCTGAAATCATAGCCAACCCAGGTAACTTCTTTTCCTTTTTGTGGTGGTTCTGTAAAATTCTCCAATTATGTATGGAATGGAAAATGAAAGCTGATGAGTATAATTAAAATAAGAGTGTGATAGTACAAGGATTTAGTTTTCCATCTAGAATTTCGACAAATCTATCTGTTGGATTTCCTAGAACAAATGACAAACACAGGTGTTAGAATCTTATTAGTATACTAAAAATGACAAATATTTAGAGTTTTCTTTATTAGTATTAATAAAATATACACAAAAGAAATACTTTTATATAATGTTAAAAGAGAATCGAAATCTATAGGTCGAGGAATATAAGGTGGAAGGTAACATAGAAAAAAGGACAGTTTGGGATAGTTGACAAAAATATGGTTTGTGGAACCTTCGTCTAAGCCACATTCATAATAAAAAATTTATTACTTTGCAACCTTCCGCTAACTAAATACAATGATGTGTCTTACCTGGATTGAAGAGCACCTCCCGCCCTTCCTCAATTGCATGCACTAACTCCGTCTCCACTAGTCCCAGCACCACTACTCCCAACACCACTACTCCCGGCACCACTACTTCCAACACCACTATTCCAGGTAACACACCATCGACGACAATACGATACGTGTTTCGCCTCTACACGAGGCATCCTCAGGAGATGTGTAGACTCTACGGCGACTGACCGCTAAGTGAGCGGCGAGCTTTTTTTTTGCGCCCGAAGCAAATTTTCGCTGAAAGTTTCACAGTGCGCGAGCAAACCGGGTTCGATCCCCGCCGGCACCAATGAAAGTGTAATTGCAATTTTAAGTGTTGCCACACGTGTTGCCACGACGTGCTCAGCGGTGAAGGAAAACATTGTGAGGAAACCTGCATGTCTGAGAAATAAGAAAAAAAATATTTCGAAGACATGCTAAGTTCGCCAACACGCATTGGGGCAGCGTGGTGGACAATTCCTAGGCCTAGGACCCTTTCAGAATGAGCGGAGGCCTGTGCCCAGGAGTGGGACGTATATAGTCTATAACTTTAACTCTATCTCGAATAGCCCACTAATGAAATTCAAATGATCGGTTTAGGCAAAGTAAGGCTAGGTAAGTCAAATTAGGGCATTTTACAGTACTTACTTAGATATCTATTACCTAATCACAACCTGGCAACTGGCTGGCTGGGCAACCCTCCGGAAAGCGGGGCAGGGAGGTGGGGAATGCTCATAGCATACCTCTCGGCTGCGTGGTTATGTGGAGACTTTTACCCACTAAACCCCACCTTTAAAGGTCCCCATCCTTAAGGATTGGCTTACTGATCTGACGAGAGATCTCTAAGCCGTATATGAACGCGACCCTCCTTGGCAGAAAGGAGGGCGCAGAGCGGCGAGCCCGAAACAGCTGCTATTTATACACGCTATATACTTATTATAATGGATTTCCGCAAAGTAATGCTTGATTCTATCAATTAAGCCACATTCACAAAATGATCTGTCCCTAACTGAATTTTCCAGCACATATTATTTTTGGATGGTTTTTTCAAGGGGATTAACTTATCAGCAGCAAAAAGAATTGCATTTCTGAACTCTATATAAACAGGAACAATATAATTTTTTATAGGATAAAGGTAACAAACGAGCACACAGTACACCGGATGGTAAGTGGATGCTGTGATCCATAGACATCTACATTTATTCCCGATTGAGAATCAAAATTCAGATGCATTGTCAGTTGTCACCCCTGTGGACTAAGATAGAATGGCTCGATTCCAATTAAACGGGTCTCTGGTTCTCTACACTCACATATGAAACACAGGAGCATTAAGCTGCTATTTTACGCTGGTATTCTGTGAGAGCGTGGTCCTTCCCCGGTCGAGCCGATCCATTTATGCTACAACCATAATATAGCTGCAGCGTGGCTCTACCACTAATAAAAAATTTATGATATTTTTTCTTTACCCCTGTAAACTGCATAATATTTGAAATCTCTTGTTGGCTGAACCTCTTCTTCACATATATAACCTTTGCATTGAGTCGGCAGTATTTCCAGAGAGGTGGAAAATAACACGAGTCTAAGAAAAGTTTATCAAGTAAAGTAAGGGATATAGAAATGTAGCTATCCTGTCAACACCCGCGAAAGTATTAGAGTCTGCTATACATAAGAATATACTCTCACAGGTAAGGGCCCAGCTGACAGATATGCTCAGCATGGCTTTTGACCAGCACGAAGTACCGCAAGCAACCTTCTGAGTTACATGGCTGATATCGTTCCGGTAGTGGACAGTGGAGTGCAAGTAGACGTCGCTTATTTTGATTTCAAAAAAGCCTTCGACTTGGTCGATAACGACGTACTACTTAAAAAGTTAGCTAGCATTGGTTTTACTCCACACTCACTACAATTTTTTGCCAATTACATGAGGAACTGGCAACAATATGTGGAATACGCTGGTTTCGTATCTAAGCCATATTACATTCATTCTGGTGTGAGTCAGGGCAGCAATCTCGGTCCTTTCAGGTTTACATTAATGATAAATGGTCTGCCAAGTGTTGTGATTGACGCTAAATGTTTGCTGTTCGCTGACGACCTTAAGCTGTATCTTGCCGATCAGGGAACGGGAGGACTGTGAGAGGTTACAACGCGATATTGACAGGGTTAAAGCGTGGTGTGAAAATAATAAGTTGCAGTTTAATTCATCAAAGTGTGTAACGCTAACTTTATTCGCGCACGCAATCCTGTGCTCTATAGGTATGCGCTGGATGGAGTAGGTGTGGCACGAGTGAACAAGGTTAAGAAAATGGGTGTTCGTTTCACCACAGCACTTAATTTTCAAAATCATATAGTGGACATCTGCAAAAAAGCGTATCGTAACTTAGGTTTTATACTGCGCAGGGCTCGTTGTTTCACTAACATTAGAAGCCAGCTTGAGTGCACCGCAGTTATCTGGGCTGCTGGGATCCACATGAAACGAAATATAGTCTCATGCTGGAGAGAATTCAAAATAAATTTGTTAGGTTTCTATATCTCAAACAGTATGGATGGGGTATATCCTTTTTACCCACTTAAATATCCGACACTATTCGTTTTTAGGGTTCCGTAGTCAACTATGCTATAAAATAAACTATACTTATAGTTTCGCCATGTCTGTCTGTCCGTCCTCGCTTAATCTCTGTGACCGTTAGCACTAGAAAACTGAAATTTGGTACCAATATGTGTATCAATCACGCCGACAAAGTGGTAAAATAAAAATTGGAAAAAAAATGTTTTATTAGGGTAGCCCTCCTGATATGTAAAGTGGGATGTGATTTTTTTTTAATTTCAACCCTAACGTGTGATATATTTTTGGAAAGGTATTTCAAAATTAATAGGGGTTTACTAAAATCATTTTTTGATAATGTCAATAATTTCGGAAATAATCGCTCCAAAAGTAAAAAAAACAATGTGCCCCCCCCCCCCCTCTAACTTTTGAACCATAAGTTTAGAAAATATGAAAAAAATCTGAAAAGTAGAACTTTATAAGGACTTTCTAGGAAAATCATTTTGAATGGAAAAATTTAGATGGAAACAACAGTACCCACTACCGGGAGCAGTTGCAGGAGCGCGGAGCGCTGCTGGAGCGCGAACATAATGGATACCACCTTTAAACTCATAAGTGGGAACACTTATTGTGACGGACGGGAAACTACGGTACCCTACACTGAGCGTGGCCCGACACGCTCTTGGCTGGTTTATTTGGTATGGTGGGATATAATGAACTCCGTGTTAGGCGCGACCTCGCACTGGTATCATATATTCTCCAAGTAATAAGAGGAAAAATAGACAATCCTTATTTCTTGGAGGGTATATATATATATATATATATATATATATATACCTATATATATATATATATATATATATATATATATATATATATAAGTGTAAACTTAATTCTTTATTATTTCAATTACGTCAATTACTTTATTACCTTCTAGCCATGGCAGTGACCATTTTCCTATATTCATCACTCCTGCTATTACCCTTAGAATAAATTTTCCACTTTGAACCAGAATAAAGTACCTATAATCTACGAGGGCTGCACTAAAAGTATCGGGAATGGAATATTTCCACTGTTCCTGTCATATTAAAATCTTTTTCATTGAAACTCTTTGGTTTTAAAAATCGAATACCATATATTTATTGGGTGCGTTTGGCAGAAAAAAGCGCTAGCAAGCGCTTGTAAGCAAAATGACGATCGTAAGCGGTAAGCGCTGTCAAATCGTAAGTAGCTATTTTCCTCCAGGACACGATGTTAGTTTCCTACCTACTAGAACCTAAACTAATTTAAATATATGTTTGTAAAGTATTTATATTAAAAAAACTTACCAATCATGAATTTTTAATAACATGTATATGTTTATTCATGTCATTATATTACTTAAAACTATTATTGCACAAAACAACTTATAAACTCTACTTCAAAACAAACAAATTAAATAAGCAAAATGGCGGATAGTGTCAGCG